CGCAAGGCAGATCCTCCCGAATTTGTTTATGAGAAGATTGCGCTAAAGGTGAGCAATGAGATGCATAACGACTATTAAGTCCGAGGCAATGCTTACGCCTTTGAGGTCCGAATGTATGACACCATTAGCGTGGAGGAACTTCAAAGCCTGCGCCACGTCGTATGCCTGGAACGATCGGTGTAAATGAGATATAAGATATTCAGTACGGAAGGAAATGTGCCCTACGAAGATAACTCGGTTCGAATCTGTGTTCTTCTCCAGGAAAGTGCATATATTTCTATTATCCATCCACGGCGATACGAATGCTATTGTGTTTCTGAAATGGCATATGCCATAGAAGGGAAGGATGTTGGGGTGACCTAGTGAATCCCACACCGTAGCTTCGTGTAAGATGGCCTGTGTGATTTGCGTAAGAATGAATTTCGAAATTTCGGGGCGCAAGGGCAAGGGCAAACAAACCTTCCACCAATCCTCCAAATTGGTATGCTGAGTGCGCCTAATCGCTTTGAAGCACACATCCTGGCCTTGAACCTTCCCTTTGAAAACGTCCGCATGGCGTCCTGAATCCTCTGAGGTATCTTGGACTGTCCAATCGCCCAAGTCGGAGTAGGCAAGGCGAACATGAGCTTGTCCTGCGACATTCGGCATGACTGTTATCAACTTGTGTTGAAACTTCTGAGGAGGATTATCCATGAAATTCGAGAGCTACAATGAAACACCCCAGTCAGTGAACCACGTCGGCAGCAGCAGCATTCGCGGTAACCGTACAAAAACATCCAGGAACTCTTGTGCCTGTGGTCCATGGCATGCAAGGAGCTTCTTGTATTCTTCCTCATCTGCGAGCCTGCCGATCAGATCCTGTACCTAGCAAAGACGAATCCAATAATATCAAGATTTGAGCAACCATGTGGATGATCGACGCACCTTCATGTGTGTGGAATCTCTACATGGATGTCATCCGAGTCAACTTTACTTGTGAAAGACATCGCGCAATTCCACGTACGACGTTGGGATGTGGTCGGCTATATACTGCAAAATTTCATGATCCTGGCCGCTCATAGCATGGGACCCAGGAGTTTCGATAATGAAAGATCGACAGTCCTGGCCTTGGAGGTACTGGGAGGGGGTGTCAATAATAAAGAATCGATAAGCCTGGTTTCTAGGGCGGGGATAGATGCATCGCGTTTCTGGCTCAATGTAGGGTTGCATTGGGTCTTGCCTGTTTTCCATGGCGAATGGCATTCTGAAAGGATTATATCTGAATTCTGAAATTTTGACGCTTTATTGTTGGAAAGAACATACTGGATCGTCCGTCTGACCTCGTCCAGGTAGAAAGCTTGCAAACGTCCGAATAACGGATCCATTTTGACCTAAGGCTAAAGGTTTGATAGAGGGGGTAGGGGTTATAACGACAACTTACGATGTCTTTTGTGCCACGAGAATATGAACGGGCGCAGAGACAGTGGACGAACAGGTTATAATATGGCTGATGAAAATAAAAGGACGAGGAAGCAGTGCAAGGTGATCATGGTCCTTAATATGGCTGGCGGAGAACATGAGAATGGTGATGCAGTGCGCGGAGTGTTGATTGTGCTGTGAAACTGGGGGACGGGGTTGGACTCGGAGGACTTATGGCGTGAATGTTTGCCCCAGTATATCACTGGGTGTGAACATTGTCCAGTCGTGAATGTGGTGGCAAAGCTCGAGAGTCTATTGCACCACAGCTTCATAGCATCACGCAAGCCATCGTTCAAAGCAAAAGGGTGTGCCAGTTAATAATAGAGACGTCGTGGTTGATAAACATCTTTTAAATTTAGTATTGGCTTACGCAAGATAGAAGGGCTTGGCCTTGATTGAACTAAAATTAGATAAACAAGCTGTGGAGGACCTACCACAGCTTCACAGCATGCCGTCCAACACTCACCACGCACTGCATCCTCATCGTCGTATTTTACGCCAGCCATTCTGATACGAACCCTGTTTGAAGAGCTCTTGGAGTCTCGCACCTTACTGCAGGTATGGACTCAGAGCTTAATGTTCAGGCTTGGTTCTCACATCCTTCCAGTGAACCGTAACCGGGAACAAGTTATTGGGCATGCAACCAATCAGTGAAGGCTGGACAAACGAGGTCGACAAGTACTCAGGAAATGGCCCGACCCTTCTCATTGCGTATGTTCCTTTCGACAACACTGAATGCGTCTAAGGTTTATAGATACTATCTCCAGGGTCATGGGCGCCTGTGGATCTGGGAAAAGCTCGGTACGAGGTTCCTACATTGTTCCACCAACGTGCTTATCTTCTCTAGCTCATCCGGTTGGCCACATCGTACGTGGGGTGCAGCACCTTCGTAAGGCAGTTCATGACATCGTGTAGAGATTCCACGCACAGAAAGGCTACAAATATCGCATACCAACAGAAGATCAGTCAAACTAGTATTAACGACCCGAATCCTCAAAGAGAGGCGCGATCTTCCGGTGGAGGACCCCGAAACAGCGCGAGTAACTCTCCTCAAAGCGACTCCGACTTTAAGGACGATGATGGTCAAGTGCGTCGATTCCTTTACATCATATTATCGTTGGGCTTAAGCCTTATGTTTTTCCCTCATGTTTTTGCTAGATCCTGGACCTGATCGGCCGACTCAAGTCAGTATTCGCAGACACGACGGCATATGAGAATCTCCTTTCCCAAAGGGAATCAGACGCGCAGAGGATTTTGGATATCTTCCAACGGGTACTGTTCTGGGCTGACTAATGTTGGTACCATCGACTGTAAGCTTACTCGTTATATGCAGCTTTTGGACGTCCGGGACGTTTCTCTGGAGTTCCGGCAAAGCGTGATTGCTGCCACGCAGAGGCTCGCAAGCCAGTCCGGGCTGTTCCCTACCTGCTATTCCCTGGGCAATGTGGCAGATTCAGATACCTTGGAGTATTCAGGTGGGTTCGCAGATATATACAAAGGAGAGCTGCATGGCCGGGCCATATGCCTCAAGAGTATCAGGCGCACGCAGCAAACCGATATCGATCACTTGTCGAAGGTGAGTCTCTGCTCCACGTACTGAGATCTTGTAACTCAAAACGATGCAGGTGTTTTTGAAGGAGGCTATTTTGTGGGGCCAGCTGTATCACCCAAACGTCGTTACGTTCTATGGGCTATACTCTTTCAAGAACACCATATCATTCGTTTCGCCATGGATGTCCAACGGCAACATTACAACATTCCTCCGGAAGCAGAAGGACTGCAACCGAGTCAACCTGGCAGGACACACTTTCATTTTTGCTGCATATTCGTCTCACTCGATGTTGTAGGCCCTTGATATCGCGCAAGGTGTGAAGTTTCTGCACGAGAACGGCATCGTGCATGGGAACCTCAAGAGCGTACGCCAATACCAAAGCCAGATTGATGCGATCTATGTATCTCACATAGCTTCTCCGCAGCGAAACATTCTTGTCAATGATATTGGCCAGGCATGCCTTGCAGACTTCGGAATCTCATCTGTCATCAGTAAAGAAACAACGGCATTCAATTGTTTTTCATATGTCACTCAAGATTGTACGGCGCGGTGGCAGGCGCCGGAGCTCTTTGATCCTGAGACAGAGGAAACAGTCTATACCACTAAGGAAAGCGACATATATGCGTTTGGGTGTTTAGCCTACGAGGTACGTCTTGTGTAATTGCTGTGTGGTGTGCTAATTCTTGGCCAGATCTTCACTGGGGAAGTCCCTTTTGCACGAATCTCTCGCGATACTACGATCATGTACAAAGTCATTCGCGGCGAAAGACCATCTCGACCTCCTGCTACGAGCCTTAGCTGGGTCGTGTGGGGGTTGACGGAGGGCATCTGGTTGTCAATGGAGAGCTGTTGGAGCGGGGATCTCACAAAGCGCCCCGCAATAAGCAAGGTCGTCGCAGAGCTGGAGAAGGCCCTTCCGCCGAATGTGGAGAGAGGCATGGGTCATGGTGACTACCTCTTACCCGGGCAGTTCAGGGAGTTTACACGTTTAGGGAAGGAGAAGATTGAGTTATCGGTAGATGTTCTTGAAAGGCTTCTGGGTTGATGATATTTGTGCTATTCAGTGTCATGCAGAGTGAGTGTGCTATGTAGGATGAAAGCAGCTCGCATTGCTAATTCAAATTTCGAAGTGTACATTTAAGATGGCTCTCTGCAAAGTGTCCCCTCATACTTTTGAAGGCCTTTATAGCTGGACTCTTACGACCTAAGAATGTGCGTGGCTCTGCAGCGCACGGCATCAGCAGCAAATCCACAATGCGTGGCACGACATGGCCTTCTGGTGCATGTGTCGTGTGGAAGAAGCCGCACTTTTTGATTTGATCGCACTGCGCGTGTGGCGCTCCAACCTCTCAAGTACTTGCCTGCAACACCACCGCTACGGGCAAACGGAGGTACAGTTCGTGAGAGCATCAGAATGCAGTATTTCCATCCGTGTACCGAATTCTGAAGGCCCGTGCTTGATCCAAGGTGCCCCCAATATCAAACCTTCAAATCACATGCTGTATTGACTGCATGTGTGGCGCTCCACCTTCCACAACCATCGCTTCAAACAATTAGACGGAACAGGGGTACAGCTCAGCGCGAGAGCACCAGACTGCAATCTTTGCTTGCTTGAAGGTCAATATGCTAAACTCTGAAGGCCCATGTTCAATCCACGGTGCCCGCGCTCGTCAGAGGAATGTCGGAACGAACGGCCCTCTTTTTTTTCTTTCTTTTTTTCTTTCTTTTTTTTTGAACCCATCGCGCTGTGTGTGGCGTTCCAACGTACTAAATAGGCACCCATCACCCCACAACACCACAGGCAGGTAACGGCGGCATAGCACAGCCGAGAGCATCAGATTGAGGTGTATATCCGCTGTCATATGTTCTGAAGGCCCGTGTTCGATCCACAGCGTCTCATAGATAAGCTGACCTGGAGATCTTTTCCTAGTGTTTACAAACACACCTCGACGTAGAGAACATAATAGCCCAAAGAAAGGAAACCAGCAACGGGGTTATAGCTCAGGCCGAGAGCTGAGCATCAAACTGCAGTGTACCTTCTTGTGAATTCAAATTCTGATGGCCCGTGTTCGATCCACGTGTCCCCATTTAGACGGCTCAATGTTTTACCGTTGTGGTCACTGCCATCGTAGCGCCACAGGCACGCAGGAGAAGGGAGGGGAGTAGAGAAGGAGCATCCCATGCTGAGACAACACACACAATTGCACGATCTCTCTATCCAGGCGGCGCACACACACGCTGTATATATGACGGCGCTAAGAAGAGAAGAGATCGAGCAAACGGGGACGGGGAACAAGTATAGGGGTATAGTTCAGCCCGAGAGTGCCAGGCTGCAGTCAAGCTTCCTGTGAGTGCAAATTCTGAAGATCCATGTCCCCATATTTTTATCATGACGCTTTCATCCGTGTGGCGCATTACATGCCGAACGTCGCACGAGTAACTTTAAGCAAGGGGGTGGCGGAACGCAGAAATCCCATATAGGGTCGGTTTTTTTCCTAAGGAGCTGTCGGGTACCCCCCTCCCCCCCCCTCCATCCCCATAAGGGAATTTTCGGGCATGTGCATGCAGCATTGAGGCTGAGGAGAAGATGAGTGTCAAAAACGTGTCAAAAACCGCATATTTCGTTGTACAGAACCTTAACATACTACAAAAAAAGTGTTTAGACTTACAATATTCAAAATTTTGTAGCAGTAGAATGTTTACAGCTCGTAAAGTCCAGTTCTTTGGTGCAAAATTGTACTCAATAGGCTCTTGGTCAAAC